AAGAGAAGACTGTTGGATTGTGCGAATAAGTCCTCGAATCGCCATCCTTTTACTCCGATGACCCTGTGCTAAGCTTTGGTCTGTCTTTACTGCAAGTAACTTTATCTGAGCAAGAACCCAAACTTTACGAAATAGCGCAACCACGTACTTCACCCTTAGCAATACGTTTTATGAACGGGTGGAAGGCCTAGCAATTGGATCCTGTTTGGCTCTTATTTCAGCGAACAAATACATGTCAAAAATGAAGAAACGCTTCATAAAGCGGTAGGACTGACACCAAAACTTTTAGTTGGGTAATATCGATGACCCTTTTGCCATATTGTTACATGACTTTCAACTTTGTGGGAAAATTCGTTGAAAGGAATTATTGATTTAGTTACATGGTGGATTGCTGTGTAGGCAAGACTGTTGTATTATTTGAAGAAGTCCTCGGCCCATCGTCCTGCGACCCCGGTGAGCATGTGCTAAGCTCTCGTCTGTACTTCAGCAGACTTCATCAGAGAAAGAAACCATACTTTAAAAAATAGAGCAAATATATACTAAACCTTTCCTCCTGCTGTAATATATTTTACTCGATTTCGTAAAGTATACATTTCTGGTTTGATTATGCCTGTCATAGAATAGACGAAAGCTTAGCACAGGTTCATCGGGATGGCCGGACGTTGAGCAGAGGAATTCTTCACACAGTACACGCTAATTCTCCTTTGGTTTCCGGTGAGGGCACATCGCGAATTCCCTCCAACAAAATTTTTCTTCGAAATGGGAAGTCATGTCACTATTAATCACTAAGGAATTCTTCGAAATCCACTTTTTATCCATATCTTCAACTTATGGGACTCCCCATTAAGATCGCAAGGAAAGGGGTTTGACAAATGACTAAGATTGCAGCCGGCTATCCTTTCGTTTAGCATATTTTTGCGTTATTTCGTGATGTTTGCATCATTGCTGTGATGATATCGGTCACAGTACTGACGAAAACTTAACGCAGGCCCATCGTGGTCTCAAGACGGTAAGCCGAGGACCTCACACAATTCTTACAATCTTTAACCTCAGCAATCATCTTTCAGTATCCGATGAGACCATTTCAGAAAATCATTTCAAAAATCATTTCAGATCCTTTAATTCTCGTTTCACTTACATTTATTATGCCATAGCCTTAACTCAAGCCTTCGCTCCAATCTGGTTAATTTAGGAATTTACAAATGAATGCTACACTTTAAGCTTTATTCTATATTCCTGATTTGCTTTAGATAAATTCTTATTCAACATACTAGTTCCCCATTTAGCTTTTTATTAACTTAGTTTATTTCTCACTTCATCTGACACATTTGCTAGTGTGAAGTTCAACCATTTACTTCAATGTATTCACCTTTTTGGCTCTATTCTAACTCTAGTTCACTACTGTATTTGGTTGAAGGTAACTTAAATTGATACACCTACAAATTTGTCTGTTTTGAGGCTTTCTAGGTACTTTCCACTGGCTGTTTTTGTGGCTTGGCATTTATTCGAAATTAACAATAAGAATGGCTTCCTTCTTTTAACATAAAAAAATATAATACTAGTTCTTATTAAGAAGCGTTTAAGTTTACTCCTATTGCATCTAAAATTCCACTTACTGCTATCAAATGCGATACAACTTCTGCTACATCCAGATGTTTAATTCACTATCAAAATCGTGATGATAATTATTTTAACATTCTGTACTTAATCCAATTTTATTTAAATATATATGAAGGTCATATAAACTTTTAGTTAATTCGAGAGAATATTTATCTCAGCAAAACTTCTATACTATTGTATCAAGCCTTCTCTCCTTTTACGCACTGGCTTCCTCCATTTTTTCAACAGTCTCGGCAAAAATGTAAATGATTTTCCCTTCTAATTTTAATTATAATTCTTTAGATCAGCATCACCAAACAATGCATAGACGAATTAGTGTCCGAGATGGAGCGTATGTACGAAGACAAGTCTAGAGCAGATGCTCGCATTATTCAACTGGATGCAGAGTTCAACAGCCTTGGACTCAAGATATCTGAAGTATGTAGCCAACTGGTTTCTCTTTCCTTCATTTCTACCACATTCTTTCAGCTTTTATGCATTTTACTAGCCTATTTTAATTTGTTTTTTTACTTAGGCAACCTGAAAGTCATTTCCCGTGTTGTTGACTATGTGCAGCCTGATTCCATCATCGTAAATGCAGAACAAAAAAAAACTTCAAAATAATATACTTAGATTTATTGCTTAAATTAGGGGCTTATGATCTGAGATAATATTACGGGGTAGCGTATTTGCCAATTGATTTTAGGCCATTTGGTAAATGCTCGTGAAGGAGCAGATTTTCTAATTGGCAAGAATAGAATTTTACCAAAGATAGAAGTATTGATATGTGATCTCACAGTCTTCAGGAAATTATGGAGGGATCACACTTAATAAATATGTTTTAGGATGAAATTATATCATGATAGATTAACCGGCAATATGTGTTTGCATTGTAGTAAAGTGATGTCTATCCCTAATCAACCTGGACTAACAAAGACAAAGAAGAAAGATTGAACACTGACTGGTAAGATGAAGCATAACGCGTTAAAGCCCATGATGCTTCCTAGCTTGAGAATTGCTGATCAGTATTATTGGGTAGAGGAATTTGGAAGTCTTTCAGTAATGCTAAGTGGAATTGGCTATCTTAAATCTTACCGTGGGGCCAATAATAATGGCTTTAAATATATTATCTTGTAGGAAAATTATGGTATAATTGATATTACATTTATGTAGGCAAGATTGGGTGTATACTAAAATGCTCTTACTATCTACGA